ACCGCCGGATCAAGTGGATGAGGTAGATGAGACTTTCTTCAGACAACTGAGAGAAGCTTCCAGATCACAGGCCCTGGTTCTCCTGGGGGACTTTAATCACCCTGACATCTGTTGCGAGACCAATACAGCAGTACACGGACAATTCAAAAGTTTTTGGAGAACGTTGGGGATAACTTCTTGGTACAAGTGCTGAAGAAACCGACCAGGGGCCATGCGCAGTTTGACCTGCTGCTCACAAACAGGGAGGAACTAGTAGAGGAATAGAGGTGGGTGACAACCTGGGAAGCAGTGATCATGAGATGGTAGATTTCAGGATCCTGACCAAAGGAAGAAAGGAGAGAAGGAAAATACACACTCTGGACTTCAGAAAAGCACACTTTGACTCCCTCAGAGAACTGATGGGCAGGATTCCCTGGGATGCTTACATGCAGGGGAGAGGAGTCCAGGAGAGCTGGCAGTATTTTAAAGAAGCCTTATTGAAGGCACAGGAAGAAACCATCCCGATGCACAGCAAAAAAAGCAAATATGGTAGGTGACCAGATTGGCTTACCGGAGAAATCTTTGGTGAGCTTAAACACAAAAAGGAAGCTTACAAGAAGTGGAAACTGGGACAGATGACTAGGGAGGAGTATAAATATATTGCTCAAGAATGCACTGGAGTTATCAGGAAGGTGAAAGCGCAATTGGAATTGTGTGAATACAGAAAAGTCAGAGTGCATTTAACTCAGCTCAAAAGGAGAGAGACTGTTAGTGTAGAGAATCTCGGATGGACAAGGGGCCCTCTGCCAAAGCTCTGTGAAAGTTATCTAGGGGAGGGCAGGACTCTTATTAGCAGGCTGCATGCCTGCTAGGAGAGAGCTTTAAGACTGCTTCAACCAGCTTCTCCCTTCTGTTTTAATGATAGAACTAGAACAGACTCCATAAGGAATCTCTTTATTTATTTAAAATGTACTCCAGTGGACACTGGGATTTTTGTGTGTCTGTACTGTGCTTTTGGCCAAGAGCTGAAATCACTGAGAGCTGAAATTACTAGGTTTGACCCAGAGCCAAATCCACTGGTGGGAACAGCAGCAGGTGGCCAGCAGGAGCAGTGGGAGCAGCAGCAGGTGGGAGCAGCTGGCAGTCATCTTCTGGCCAGCAGAGCAGCCAGCAGGAGCAGTAAGTGGGAGACTTCGTGATGATGCATCTATGAACTCTGGGTCTGCACTGACTGGACAGAGCCATGAGTGAGGTGTTTGAAGTGTGGAAGGCAAACTCTGAGTTGGGGATTGAACTAACATAGTTGAAGCAAAGGACTCTGCCCTGCAGACTCTGGTGATGGTATCTTGGTTATGGATTTTCTTTGTTTATGTGTGTTTCCTTAGATTAATGCTAGATTACTGTTATTATATAGACTGTTTTTATCTCTGACTCCGTGCTTATGAGAAGGGAAGAATTGCCTGTAATGGTGCCCAATGGATAGGTTGAAATTATCCCAATTTACTGGGTGGAGGTTTGACCCAGTTTGGTTACATTTTTGAAAGAACCCCCTAGATACTGAACCTGGCCCTTCTGACTGCTAACTGCTACCATAGGAAGGGTAACATACATAACTCTATGCCATCAACATGTCAAAATAGTGCAGGAAGTTCAAATAAAAAACTAAGATTTTTAAATGCTCCTAGAAGGCACAGAAAATAATCTTAGTAATTTATGGTGAAAAGCTCATTTGTTTTGTACTTAGTTTAGACCACTCCACCACCTTTGTGAGTGTAAATATTTTACATTTATAAAAGATTTGTGTGGCTACAATTCAGACATTCAATAGAGGTATTTGGAAAGCATATCATATTATATATATATATATATATATAATAACGCTGCATGGGAAACTGTCAGGTTCCTTATAGAAAACATATGTCTTAGTTCTCCTTTGCTTTTGTAAACCATGCTCAGCTGTGAGATATCATTTTAGAGGAGTCAGAACAATTCAGGTCCCTTTTAATGGAGCAGCAGTAATATATTCAGAGAAAAGCAAGAAGCTGCTGCTTATAGTCCATTTAGACATAACAAACATTTAGAGTAGTATTATACAGGTTTTGGCACAGCACTAAATGTGATCTCACATATACAGGGGGTTTGTTGATACATAGAGGTGGAGCCTAGCACACAACATTTAAAGTGACATACTCAAGCACATGTAACTTTAGCAATGAAAGCTTTTCCCTGCTTCCATTTTAAAGCCATTTCTGTGGTTTTGTCCTGTTCATAGCACATAGAAAGATATCCAGCCTAATTCAAGTGTAGGGTGACATGTTGAAAATACAAGAACACTGGAATGTTGTTGGGTGGGATTTTTTAAAGCACCTAAATGACTTTGGAGCTCAATTTGATTGTCCATAAGAGAACTTGTGATCTCAGGAGCTTTAGAAAATCCTGTCTGTATTTCATCCTTATGAGACGGAGAGAGATGATGTTATGGCTAAAGTACTGGACTAGGAATCAGAAGATCTCATTTGTCTCCTAGCTCTACTGCAGACTTCCTGCATGAGTATGAGCAAATCACTTAGCCTCTCTGTGCCTTTACTCTTAGTCCATTAAATTCCCAATACTCTCTGACTCCCACAGGCTGGCTGGCTTCCCTCCATTTCACTTAATTCCCCCTTGCCCTGTTTACAAAGCTGCCTCTTTGGAGCAACGCCTGTCTCCCACTCTGTGTCCATACAGCACAGAGCACAATTGGGCTGTGCTCTCAGCTGGGGTCTCTAGTATCACTAATGATGCAGTTTTTTAATTCAAAATACAATAAATAATTATAATCATTAACAGAAGCAGGTGAGAGTCATTATCCCCGTGATCAGTAAAGGAGAAACTATGATGCAGCGAGGTAAAGGGACCAGCTCCAGGTCCCAGAGCACACCCAGCACTGCTGAGAAAGAAAGTAGCATCCCGACTCTCAGTCTTGTGCTATGTCTACACAACAGCATTATTTTGTAATACCTTACATTATTCTGAAATATCAAAGAGTGTGTCTACACTGCAAGCTATTATTTTGAAATGATGTCGAGCTGGTGGACTTCTTACTCCAACTCCTGTTACCCTCATTTTACGAGGAGTAAGGGAAATTGAAAGAAGAGTGTTTTTCCCTCACCTTCCTGCTGTGTAGACAGCGCCAAAAGCTGAATTAAGCTATTTCTACTTAAGCTACACAATTGACGTAGCACAAGTTGCATAGCTTAATTCGACTTTTGCCCTGCTGTGTAGATGTGCCCTAAGTCTACTTATTTCAGAATGATTTTCCCTGTATGCATGACATGTGGATCACCATACTGAAGCCATAAAGAAACACTCATCCTTAATAGGAATATAGTGGAGCTGTTGATTCAATAGAGGACTCACTGGAAGTTTGAGGGTTAATAGCACTGCAACCCAGGGACTCTATGGGCTATAATACAAAAACAAGGCATCAGCACATAAGATAAGTTTCAGCTGAGTTGTACGTTTAGTGTTACACAAGTCACAATCCATGTTAAGAAGTCGCTCCTATCTCAATCCATGTTAAGAGTCCCCATTGACATTACAAAACTAGATGTCAAAGCACCTTGGAGAACAAAATAAATGGCATTGTTAAAGTATAATGCATCTCAAGAATGCAACTAGCGATGCGCAGGTTTCCCTGTAAGGGAAAAGGGAGAGGTTTATAACTTGGGTGCCACACTGGCACACATCTGAAGCAGTGTACGACCTCAATATTGGTGCACAAAACAAAAATCACTGTGCTCATGGATGGAAAATCTTAGAGGGAGCACTGGCAATGTGTAATGAATTGTGAGGGGTAAATATCATCTATCATGTAAAGTGAGTGCTAAGTTTGCAGAACTCCATCGAAATTAGAATTATCTGACCTAGCTTACATTTCATTTTTAGCATTAGCTCTGTGTGTGTGTAACCCACAAATCTAGTGTGGTTACTGAGCAATGCAAGTGGCACCTAGACCACAGCAACAGTTAAGACCAAGAGACAGCATGGGCTGGGAGCCAGCTGGCTTTTAGCTCAGAGGGTAGAGGCTCCTATACTTAGGTCCCCAGGTTCAAATCCGCCCGGTGGCGGTTACATGTGCATGTATGTGCCATTAGAAAAGAGAATCATATCTATTATATAAAAACAGAGGTCTCTCATGTCTGAAGTGGGGTGTAAGGCCAGGTCTACACTATTGGAGAAAGTTGATCTAAGATATACAACTCCAGCTGTGAGAATAGCATAGCTGGAGTCGACATACCTTAAGTCAAATTTCTGCAGCATCCCCGCTGTGAAATTGATGGGACAAACTTACTTCTCATGACCCAGTAAAAGAGTACTGGGGTCGACAGGGGGGCCAGCAGCAGCTGATTTAGCGGATCCTTACCAGACTCATTAAATGGAACCCTGTGAGATTGATTGTCAATCTCTGGGTAAGTGAAAACAAGCCCTAAGGGAACAGAAGGAATCTGTAATTAGTAAAGATGAACACTACCTTTAGCTACAGCGTTGTATTAATACCATTGATGTCTACTAAATTGTTCTTTAGACCAAGTCCTACTAGTGTCTCTAGGATATCGCTCAAGTACTCTGGAACCCAGGGTACTCCGGATTGTTGTCTGGGTGGGTTAGGTCACACTTCTGTGTGTGTATGTGTGTCTATCTGTCCAAGAACTCTTCCTAAATGCTAAGAGTTAGGACCACCAAATTTGGTATGCAACTTCCTCTTATAGCTTAAAGCAAAGTAAAGATTTGGTTGGGCCAGAAAAATGGGATGTGCCTGGAATGGGACTGCATTTCATAAAATAGAAATGGAGGACTGGGACATCGGAGGGCAAGGGTAGAGAAAGGGACAGCTATCTGCTATATATTTCAGAGAGTTTGTCTGTTTGTGTGACTGTGTGTCTGTTCCCCAGCTGCAGGATTGTAGAATCATAGAATCATTCTCTTTCAGACCTAGGATTCAATGATTCTATGATTCCTGCCCCCGCTGTAACCACTGGAGCTGCAGCGGCCATGGAGAAGCACCTCTCTCTCCAGGCAGCCTGCAAACTGAACCCCTTGTCCCCTTCCCCACCCTAGAACAATGATGTAAATGAAAAAGACCAAAAATTAACTGAGAGAAGGACCAGAGCAATGGTGGGTAAATCTGCTAGTACATGTATACAGACTCTGTATAAGAACTGATACAAAAGACATGCTGTCTAAGGGCTGCTTAGTGGCCTATGCACAATAAATGTCGTGATGGTGTTAGTCCAGCTGTCAAGGGAGAGAGGCTTCCGACACAGCTGCCCCTAATCAGAAGCACCCCTGTTAGCAGTCTCAGCAGAGGCCCATGATTAAATTGGCTGTGGAGACCAGACTCCAGTGCAGTCATAAGGAACTTTGTCAGGGGCACCTAAAGAGGGAAAGGAAAGAGAGAAACTGTTTGTGCTTGACCTGGAGAAAGCTCATTCTCTGCGCTTGTCAAACAAGCATCCTTAGTGAGCACTAAATACACCATTCATTTTCTTTTTAAAGACATGTAGGCCAGCCCATAGATATTTAACACTTGGTACCACCACACAATTGTTGGAAGAGCTAACTCAGCATCCTAGTACACTCAAGAGCAGCTTTGCCATTCTTCTTCTCCACACTGATCCCATAGATTCCACGTATGCATTAGGCTTCTTTGCTGCTTCAGATCCTCTGCTCCCGTCTCTGTTTGAGGCCCACTATTCGGGCAGCCAGCAGGAACGCTGCCCCAGTCAGCACCTCGGCAATGAAGGAGACCCACACAAGTGCCAGTGACCAGCCAAACTTGATGTTAACTTCCTGCAAGAGACTGTTGTTTCCCAAAAGGCAGAGGGCTTCCTTGAAGGCAGCTGCCGCATATGCAATGTAGACACTGATCCCAGTGAGTGTAACAAGGCCTAGAAGAAACACAAATAGTGTTGGGGTCCACTTTACCTGAGCTAAGGATCTGCTAGATCTCCCTCCCTATATTGGCAGGCAGAGCTCTCTCCTGCCTTGGTTTTGTATCTTGTCTCTAGTTTTGTTTTGGTCTCTGTATCACTAAATGAGGAACTGAAATGCAGCACAGCATGTTTCCTGCAAAGTGCACCTATTGATGCATGTCTCAGGGCTGTCCTGTCTGCTGGACAGTTTGAGGCAGCTACCCTGGGGCCTGTGCTTTGTGGGGGAGGGGCCCACAGAGTCAAGGGCAGTCTGGGGGATTACCAGGGAGGCCTGATGCCAGCAGTAGAGGTTGGACCCTTCTGCACTCACTAGTGGTGGTGGGAGCTGCATGAAGTGGAACAACCTGGCCCCAACCTCCTGTATTCTGCCATCTCTTAGCCAGGCTCTCCGCTCCACCACCCCAGCCCCCACCTCATTCCGATCCCCTGAACAATAAGGCTGGGATGCAAGCATGGGGGAATGCACTGGGCTGGGGCCAGGTCACTCTGCTTCCCACTGTGGCTGTGACTAGCACTAACCCCCCTTACACCTCCCCTCCCAGTAATCTCTCTGGTCACATCACCCATGGGGGGGACCTTGGGGGATGGGAGAGGGTGGAGCAGGGATAGGATGAGACAAGGCAGGGCAGAGCAGAGGCAGGGCTTGTAGGGAGGGATGGAGCAGGAGTGGGGAAGGCAGAGCAGGGGCAGGAAGAGATGGGGTCCAGCCTATATTTATTCAAATCAAGAGAGAACAGCAGATAAAGTAGCACTCTATATAAAACTGAATCATGTCTATGTAACTCAAACACCTTCTGGGTGTGGTGCACTGTCCCATCTAGTGGCACCTAGACCACTTACAGAAAAAGAGAATGAGTTTTCTCTGCAGCCTGAGTTGAGAGCGAGCTGGCTTTTTGCTCAAATTGTAGAGGCTCAGGCATGAAGCTCCAGAAGTCCCAGGTTCAGTTCTACCTGTCAGCGTTACATTTAGATTAAGCTACAGTCTCAGAGGGGTAGTCATGTTAGTCTGTATCTGCCAAAACAATGTGTCCTGTGGTATCTTAAAGGCATTTGTGAGTGCAAGTGGTATCTCCCACCGAGGTGAGTTCAGTGTGTTTTGATGGAATTTCCCTCTGAAACAGCTGGAGACCCTAGGGCCTGGGTTAGGGCCCTCCTTCTAGGGCCCCGTCTGGCAGCCCCTTAGGTATCAAGCACTAGGACATGAAGTCCTATGCTGAAGTGTTTCTCTAGTGACTCTGGCTACTAGGCAATACTGCCCTTGACACCAAGGGTGATTGTCTTCACTCTGGTCCTTGGACCTCGAGAGTGTGAGGTCAGAGACAACCAAAAACACTTAATCTCAATGTATCCACACCAATTACCTGCCCTGTTACAGGACAAGTTGTGCATACATTGACACAGTAAGGAAAAAATAAATAAAATGGCTGGACAGACCATGTAAGCCCCTCTTTCCAGGCCTGATACAGAATCCACTGAAGTCAATGGACATCTTACCACTCATAGCTGTTTTTGTTTTTTCTCTTAGACTTAAGATCAAGCCTTAAATCACCACAAATGCAGCGTTGTATAATGCCAAGTTTCACAAATTCCAAAGCCACTATCATTTTACTATGATTTTTTTTTAAATCTTGTCTCTAAAGGACGAAAAACTGACATAACATTTGCTGAAAGGGTATGTAACCTTTCAGGGATGAAGATACCATGTTCAAGATGTCTCTCAATCCTCCAAGAGACACGGCTACATATAACTTTCTGCTATACCTTGTTGTAAATGTCAGCGAGCTACTTCAGAACCCCATTACTAGCTTTTTAATCTAAAAGGAGCTGAATGGGAAAGCACATAAAGTGAATAAACACTGGCACTCAGTTGGAAATCAGACATTTTGCTGGCTGTTCTCATTGCCCTCTGGGAGTAAATGCCCTAGTTCTAAGCTGTCACCCTTCATCTAAAGTAGGTCTCAGTACAGTACCTCCAAAAAGAAAAAGCATTCCCGTCATTAGAAGCAGCAGGTAGGCTCTGGCAAGAATACTGATAAATCCAGTCATCCCTCCAAAAATCATCAGGATCAAGCTGAGAGGCAGCAGGATTACAAATGTCCCATGCATGTCTAGAGAGAAGAAGAGTTATCAGTTTTTCATTATCACTGCCATTTGTGCCCTATCAAGATCAGGGCTTTATTGTGCTGGATATCCCTATTACAGGACAGGGTGTGCAAACACACAGTAAGACCATCTCTTCTCCATAGAGCTTACAGTCTAAATAGACAGGATGCAGGATGAGGGAAATAAAATGCAACACGAGATCCTGATCCCTTCACTTAGGGTACATCTACACTGCAAGCGTCTTTCGGAATAAGCTTTTCTGGAAGAGAGCTTCCAGAAAAGCTTCTTTCAAAATAGCACATTTATCCACAAAAAGCGCAACAAAATAGTGATTTCTATTTTGAAAGATAGCATCCATGCTGATTGGATCAATCTATCTCAATTTAAGGCTACCCAGAACCAGTTCAGGCAGGGCATTAGGTCAGCCGTTGCTTCTGGGAGCTGCTGCATAAGGCTATCTCAGACATATGCTTAAAGGGACCTCCCTGGACAGCTGTTTCTCAGGTTCTTCTGCTTACTTGCCTACCTCTCTGAGGGGACAGCAAAGCATTTCCTCTGTGAACTTTGGTTGCCCTGCTTCAGGACACCACAGCACTCCCTACCATGGAGATGGAGCTGCCTCTGGGCATGCGATGGCCCCATGTTGCCAGTTTCTGCAGCAATTTCTGCAGGCTGCCTTCATGTCCCTGCATGAGCTCGACCCCAAGCTCATCTCTGAGAACCTCTGCCTGTGTGTGGGAGCGATGCCCTTGCAACCGCACCCCACGATGGAGCGATGCCTCTGGCAGCTGGACACCAGTTCCAACTGATGGGACCAGCTGCTGATGGAGCGATACGATGACCAGCTCCAAAACTTCCACATGAGGAAGGAGATTTTCCTGGAGATGTGTGTTCCTGGCTCACCCTTGCCCTCAGATGATGGGACACCCAGATGTGACCCGCCAGACAGTCACATCTGTAGCTCTCCACACCAGACAGTTACCAATCTTTAGACAACCAGTTCAGTGTGGGGAAATCAACTGTCGGGGCCCATCCTGGGTGGTTCTGCAGTCCCAACATCACATAGCCCTGAAGGGGGGGTGGGCTTCATGGGAGTGGCTCCTGGGGTGTTTATGGGGGGGAGGACTCAGGGACCTCCCAAGAGCTCATGCACCCCCTTTGATTCTCTGTTTTGTTTCTTTGTCTCCTTCTGAAGGTGGTGAGACCAACACTGTGCAGGGTCATCCGTCTGGGTGACGTGGACCCCACTGTCTCTGGATTTACTGCCCTGGGCTTCCCCAGCTGCAGGGGGGCTATTGATAGCACACACATCCCCATCTCAGCCCCCTGGGCAGCACAGTACATAACCCACAAAGGTTACTTTTCTATGGTCCTGCAGATCCTGGCTGACCACCGCAGCCATCACGGACATCTTCGTCGGCTAGTCAGGGAAGGCACACAACACCCGTGTCTTCCACAACTCCAGTCTCTACCACAAGCTAGAGACCGGCACTTTCTTCCCTGAGTTTAACATCAAGGTCAGGGACATTGAGATGCCATTGTGCATTGTGGGGGACGTGGCCTACCTCCTCATGCCGTGGCTGATGAAGCCATACACCAGCAAGGACCTGAGCAAGGACCACTTCAATGGCCGCCTGGACAGGGCCTGCATCCAGGCTGAATGAGCCTTCAGCCGCTTGAAGGCAAGGTTCAGGTGTCTCCTGACACACTTGGATGTGGGGGAGGAGAACATCCCCCAGGTGATATCTGCTTGTTGTGTGCTCCACAACTGCATGGAGAGAAAGGGGGAGGCCTTCCTTCTGGGGTGGGGTGTAGAGGCTAGCCAGGAGGGAAGGGCCTTTGAGCAGCCACACACAGTTGCCATCCAGCAAGCCCATCAGGTAGGCCTACGCATCCGGGAGGACCTGAAGGAGAGTTTTTCTGAAGGACCCCAGTAATTCTCCCCAGGGCCTCCTCACTAAGGCTTTGCCCCTGTGCTTTGCCCCTCTCTGCCTTTCCCACAACCCCTCCCTTCCCTGCAGACACAATAAAAATTGCTTTGTTTTGGAAAAAAAACCTGGTTATTTATTTGGGATAGAAATAACTGGGAAGAAGGGGGGATAAGAAGCTGGAAATGGAAGGGGGCTCAGAACCTTGGAGGAGGGTGTGGGGGGGCAGAAAAACTTGGAGCGGGGAGGAGAGGCTCAGGACTGGGGCTGAGAGTGGTGCATGGCTTGGGTGCTTCCTCCGCCTCGTGTGTGGGGACCTCTGTGACCTCGTGGGTGGGGAAGTCCAGAAAGGATAGAGGAATAGGCAGAAGGGGGTAGCTGGAGTTGGGTCAGGCATGGGAGGGGGAGTGGGGACAGGGGCAGGGACAGGAACTGATGCCAGGTAGGTCAGAAGCTCCTGAATGGCTGTACACGTGTTGCGTCCCTGCTGCAGCAGTTCAATCCACATCTGGGCCCTCCACTGCGCATCATCCCAGACCTTCTGGGCCAGTGTCTGCCACATGTCCTGCAGGATGGAGACATGCTCCCTCAGGAGGTCCTCCTGGACCCTCCGGCAGCTGCGGCTCCCCGAGGATCAGGCGGCTGGCTTGGGTGGTGTCAATCACCCCATAGTCATGGCTGGTCCAGCTGGGGAGAATAAAGAGAGGTGGTCAGTCATCCCTGGAGACACTGTCCCTGATGCCTTGCCCTCATCTGTGAACTGAGAGCAACAGTTCCCAGGTCAGAGGATGAGGATGTCCTGGGAGCAAGGCCATGTGTAGCCTGGACAGTGGGCCCTGAGGTCTCTAGGGGACTATGCTTTCCCATCCCCCCCCCCCCCCCCAAGGCAAGGAAAATGGCAAGCCACACTGGGATCAAATGGCTGGAAGAGGGACCTCGAGCTGCCTGGGCTTACATTGGGGCTGCACACACACCTGTGCCTGGCAGCACTGTCCGTGGGAGTGGGTGCTGCCTCGAGCATGCAGGCATGACTGTGTGCCATTTGTGGCACTCCACAGTCTATGGGCATGTGTGTCTGTGTCCTTGTCCCCAGCCTCCTTCCAGCAGTGGCTGATGGTGGGAGGGAGTCCCCCTCCCCGGGAGTCAGACGTGTGGCCGGCCTCCCCAAAGCCGGTGAGCAGGAGCCCAGGGGTGCTCCGGGGCTGCCTCCTGGGGCTGCGTGGCACAGACAGGTGCTGCACATACATCCACTTGCACTGACTGAGTGCGATGGCCAGGCCGAGAAGGCCAAGCAACAATTGCACCCCAGCCCGTCAGTACCCACCACCCTCACCCTGTATGTGTGAAAAACTAAGACCACTCGCCTGATGATCCCTCCCTGGCCTCGGAGGATGCCTGGGACACATCCAGGCCACGGGGTACTGGCTCCAAAGTGAGTGTGGTCACGGGGCTCACCATGTCCTCATCATCATCATCACAGGCTGGGACCCCCAGAGGAGCAACGACAGGCATCTCCAGCTCCAAGTCGATCACCAGGGGTGGCGAAGGGGCTGCACTGCCCCCCATGATGTGCTTGGTGCAGGTCTTCAAAATAGGGTCAGGAGTGGCGTCCTGCCCTGGAGGGTGAGCTGCTCTCCCTCGCCCTGGCATAGGCCTGCCAGAGCTCCTTAACTTTGCTCTGGACCTGATCCAGGGTCCTGGCGTGGTTCTTTGTGGCCAGGCTCTTGGCCATCCAGCCATATATGTCAGCATTCATGTATCTGGAATGGAGATCCTGGAGGTTCTCCTTGTCACTCCACGCCTTGAGGAGGACCAGAATCTCTGCCCCAGACCAGGATGGCACACGTTTTTTGTGGCCCCTGGAAGGTTTCTGGGAGCCCTGTGCATGCTCCCTGGGACAGGCAGGAGGCTCTTGGGGCACTTGTGGCTGGGACATGGTGCCCAGACATCAGGCAATGTGAGCTGTGCTGCGGCTGGAGGCTCTGAGAGCTGGCTTCCTGCCACATGCCCTGTCCCCTGTGTCTGCACCTTTAAGAGCTGCAGAGGAACCGAAACTATAGAGTTTTGATGAGTGTAGACCAAGTGGCCAGCAGAGCACCTGTAAGATTTCCTGGAGGACTCTTTTTTTGACAAAACTCCCTATTCCATGTCCACACACACCTAGTGGAATGAGGTTTACCGGTATTGGAAAAAGCCATCCGTTATTTTAACTTTCTTTCGAAATAACACAGTTGTAGTGTGGACACTAGTATTGTTTTTCCAGAATAATGGCCGTTATTCCAGAAAAATGGTGCAGTGTAGACGCACCCTTAGGCTTAGTAGTACTTCATTCGGTAAACAGCTCTGCTGATTGTACTTCTCCTTTTCAGTAAAGGTATCAGAATCTAGCCCACAGAGATCTAGGTGATGGGTTGCAAGTTTCATGTTAGTTCCAGATCCTAGTTTTCTTAGATTCCATGAAACCAGGAATATTCTTAGTGCTGACTAACTTCAACAAGTCCGTGGTAGGGATGAGAGGTTACATGTACAATGCAATGGTAGATGGCTAGTGTATGTCTGATGTGGGTGCTCACTGCCAGATGCATCTCAGAATTACACTGAAAGAGTCATGTCAAAGGTTTTAAATGACAACTCTGCATAAGGCCTCCATCCAAGGGCTGGAACTCTTCTGATTCAAGTTAATTTTTCCCTCTGGCTACGTCTAAACTATGGGCTTCTTTTGGAAGAAGCTTTTTTCGGAAGAGATCTTCCAGAAAAACTTCTTCTGAAAGATAGCATCCTAAGGATAAAATTATTTTGTTGTCAGTATGACCTCTGTGTGACCTTGGTGTTAAGCCTGGTATTTGTAAAGAGGTACATGCTTGGTCACAGGTATGCAACTAGAAGGGGATAGGTGAAACTGGCATAAACCTGTTTTACTGGTATGAACCTGTTGTAAGGCCAAAGAAGGGAATGTGAGGGAGTAAGTAATGATTGGAGGGGATTTGGTGCAGAGAGCATGACCTGTGTATGTGTGTACTGTCAGTTGTCAGTGGAAAAGGGGTGATTACCATGTATGATAATACAAAAGACATTGC